AATTATATAATGGTAAATGTAGAAAAGGATCATTTCAATATTCTAAAAAATCAACTTGGAGGTCATTTTGGGGGGGAAGGTCAATACTCAAGTCTTTTCAGAAATGGAAAAAAAAAATAGAAGAACTTTACCTGCATCATAACATCATAACCCAAATTCTAAATGATGGTTCTCAGCCATGTGCACCCAGAGACTCTGAAACAAGAAGTCACAGACGCCTTGATGGACAGGCCAGAGCTCTTCCTCATAAAGGAAGGGCAGCCCAGTGTCCCGCCTCTGTCCTCACTCCAAGAGGCTCTCTAGACCTCACACTTAGAGCAGCAGCTGCTGATGGACATGTCTGAGCCCATGATCTCCGCTCCTGTCCCTGGCGACATCCCTAGGCCCCGCTGTCCCATGTGTTCCAGTGCTGTGCCCTACAGAGTTCCGCTTCCTGGGAGCAGTGTCCTGGGCTCTCACACCAGCCTCCTCACTAACCTTCCACTGTCTGTCTTCCCTCTTTATCCTCCAAAGTCTTATCCACATGGGGTCACAGTGGCTTTAGCTCTGAAGCTGCTGGGTGTCCAGGTCACTGTGCATAAGGGCTCCCTATGGCACAGCATAAAGCCAATGCCATCTGAAGGAGCTGACCCCAACTTCCCAGCCCTCTAGCCTGCTGTGCCTGCTCCTCTGTGCCTTTCTGTTGCTGCTGCCTCTACCTGCACAGCTCTCCTCTCCCCCCCACCTTCACCTGCCCAGCATGACTTGTCCTTCCCGACCCTGGGTCAGGACTCATGTGGTGCCCCCCCCCCGCTGCCCAGGGCTGGCCTCGGGCTTGGATGCCCTCTCTTGACTACCCGTGAGTTTGGGGCATCTCTGTTATGAGCTCTAACCGCTCTGGCCTGTCCTTCCCATTTGGGGAGTCCTTGGGTATCTTTTTCCCAGTGTCCAGCACAATAAGCACTGGTGAAATGAGACTGTTTAGGTGACCATTTGTAACAGCAAAACAAATGGAAAACAACAGAGTCAACCACTCAAGTGTGTCTTACTTCCTGGTGTCAGGAGGACAGAATGCCTAGTTAGACCAGCCCATCTAATGAGCCTAGAATAGGAGTGTCTCATAACACTGTGCCTTCACCTCCTGTTTCCATTTGCTGACACGAGAGAGTCCATCTAACTGACTTGCTCTGTGGGGACATCTCGGGATCACTGCTGTCCTGTTTCCACGCAGCCCCCGTCCGTCTGCCCTTCTCAATGTTCTCCAGGGGCCTCTGACTTCCCGACATTTTAAAATTAGACATGCCTCTGAGAATGCCTTCTAAGCACCTTCTGGGCTTCATCCATGTCACTGGAGAAGGACATGGGACACATGTCACTCAGGAGGAGGGGACAGTCCTGGGCATAGAGGGGCAGCATCTGTCACAGTCCCCTCAGATTCCCTCCTGCATTCATCCATTATCCATTCAGTAGAGTTTACCCAGCACTCAGTGCCTGCAGCAGATGTCAGAAGAATCCCTTGACCAGCTTGTAGTTCCACACCGTCGTTAAGGGCACAAGTTCTAAAACCAATGCCACCTGGCACTGCCACCTGCAGTGTGACCACGGGCAGGTCACTTGACCTCCCTGTATCCTCTTCCTCCTTTAAATCAGGGTTGAGAATAGTATCTAACCCATAAAGATAGAGAGATTGCGGATCGAATGAGATGTAACAGTCGTAGCAAATGTCCGGCCCAGAGTCAGTGCTCAGCAAGTCATAGCTAGCATGGAAGGGAGGGACCGCAGCAGCCTCTCTCAGGGCTGGGGGACGCAGCGGTGAACAGAGAGCACCACCCCATGGTTTATATTCTTGTTACAAATAAACAGATGAACAACTCACATAGGAATGCTGTTTGGAAGACCAAGGGGACTCTGTGACATGGGGTGGTGGGGATTCCTCAGATAAGACATCAGGAGGCCCTCTAGCAAGAGAGCACTTACACCAGGCACCGGAGAGGAAACGGAGCCTGGTCAGGAAAAGCCACATGAAAATCCAGGAGGAACGTTGCAGACACAGGGCACGACAAACACAAAGGCTGTCGGTGGGAGAGGGTCCGAAGTGTTCTAGAACCAGCCAGAGGCCAGTGTTGGCTGGGACAAATGTAAACCAGAGAGAAGTTTGCCCTGGAGCTGAGGGTGGCAGGGGAGACCTTTGGAGGCTGGAGCTTCATCTGCATGCACTGGGAGGCCAGCACGGGGCTGTAACGTGCTCTGAGCCCCACCCCGTGGGACCTGTGGAGACACAGCTGGCACGAGGGGGTCAGAGCAGGCATCGGGGCACATGGGAACTTCTTGGGGTGGGTTCTGCTAGCAGGCTGTGGCTCCTGCCTCCTCTTCCCTTGGACGTGCCTTTAAAAGAGGTAGAGTACCTGCAGGCCTGGTCAGAGGCCCCCGGTGGACGGCTCTGTCCCACACAGTGAGTCCCTCATGCTGTGATTCACGAGTCTTGTGAGTGCAAAGCAAGGCTCCAGCACGGCTAAGACCCGAACGACTAGGTTATTAATAACACACAAGATAAGTCAAAGTGTGAATCAATAGTAAGTAACACCATAAGTAACGATATATTTTAAACCGTACTGAATTCTTCTTGTTTTGCTGTGGTCTTGAGTCTGGCCAAGTGTTCTGAGGCCACTGGGGCCCCATGAGTCTTGTCCCTGTGGGGCAATGGTCTCTGCCTCCTCTGTGCCTCCCATGTGTTCCTCTGCAGGTTCCCTCCCTGTCCCCTCCCTGTCCCCACCTTCCCAGCCCACCCTTTTCTGCGGGTCACCCCGATCAGGTCCCAGCCCCAGGCTCCACTCCTACATCTGCTTCCCCCGAACACCACCTCTGAGTAGATCCAGTCCGTCTCCCTGCCCTTCTCACGCCCTCCCCTTCAAGGGCACCGGCCTCCTCCACCTTCCAGAAGGCCTCTGCCCAGTGAGCAGCGGCCTCAGCCTCCCCCAGCCACCCTGCCCCCCTCCCTCTGCTCCTGACCATCAGGTAGGGCTCAGTGCCCTGGGAATGGGCCTGCCCAGGGGGGTCCTGGGCACTCATGGAGGAGGGGAACTTGGAAGATGAGGTTTTAGGGTTCAGACACAGCCAGAGAGGCTCATCTTCTCCAGCGTAATTCCTGGACTCCTGGGCCGTGTGAGAAACGAGGGTCAGAGGAGAATCCGGTGCCCTGGTCAGGGAGTGTGAACCATGGTGTTTTGTATTTTTAGCACAATCTTCTCAAGTATTCACTGTGAAGTGTAGAGCAGCTCCGACACACTGTGAGGGTCTGACTTCAACCAGGCCTGTCCCAGCTGCATTGAAATCCATATGAAAGAGAACGATTACATTCAGTGAACTTGGCTGGGAGAGAGGCAGGGAAATCTGACTTTGGGGGAAAGTATTCCTCGTCCATTTGTGGGCACGTTCCCACTTCTGTCCCTCCCGGCCATATCTATCACATGCTGGTTGCAAGACCTTGAGCCCACTGAGCCCAAAGAGAGGGACTTCCTGAACAAGGGCGTCTGTGAACCCCAGAGGACACCTGGACAGTCTTCCTCCTCCTTTCCTTTCTCACCATAGGATGGATGACAGCTTTGTGTCCCTTACCCGTGTCCCCTGGAAGCAGGGACCAGGAAGAAGGCAGCTCTGTGACCACATTCCAATCCTTGAGAATAAGAGAAAAGACCTCTTTCCCAGAAGCCCCAGCTCACAGCGTGATGCAGGGGAGCTCTGTGATGGGCTCAGCTTGGGTCACGTGTTCTTCCCTGGCCTGGGAGTGGAGTGACCCCCAGCAGAACCAAGTGTGGTGAAGAGCATTCTCTGAAGTCAGGACCCAGCACACAGCACCATCACCCTCCACGTGTACCTCCTGCAAAGCCCAGAATCTAAACCACCCTCAACTCCTCCTTGCCCAGACAGATAAAGTACAGCTTTTGATTAAAGCCCCTTCTTATCTTGCACCACCCTGCTTCCCCAAATTCCAGATCCTTCAGGTGTCCTGACCCTGCCACCCTGTCTGGAGGTCCCTCCCCCTCCCACCTGCCTGTGCTGACCGCCTCTGACTCCAGCTGTCTAGGCCAGCAGAGTGGGCAGCCCCTGCAGAGCCTCCCGGCTGTTGCCCTCCCACCCTGCAGCCAGTCCCCAAGGAAGACAGTTTCCACCCTGGGACAGCCCTCCCCACTGATGTGTCTCTGTCCCCTCACCACTTTGCAGTGTCCTCAAGAGCAGGGACTGGTCTTATTGTCTTGGAATTCCGGCAGTGAGAAGGGGCACATAGTGGGTGCCCAAGGGAACACTTTGGTGTTGGTGTTGAACAGGATAAAATAGCCCACGTAATTGAAGAAGTTGAAAAATCATTTAGAACCTAAACGGCTTGTGCTTTGCCGTCCTTGACAAAGCCTGGTGAATTGCATGCTGTTTAGGATAACCAGGGCCCCCCTCATCCGCTTTTTCTTAGCAAGTCAACATTTCCATGTGTCCGGGTAGTTTTCCTCCCCGTCCTCCGACGCCACTATACCACTGCTGACTGAACTGCTCTTCTAATCTCTCCTGTGAGATTCCCACACCGACACCTGTCCTCTCTCCTGAGGGGGCACTTCTTTTTCCAGCAGGTGGCTTAAACATTAATCACAGTCCCCGACCCTCATGACTTCCTGGCGCCTTGTGTCTCCCAGCTCAGGACCCAGTCTGTGCTATTCATGGAAGAGTGTGCGTGTGCGTGGGCACATGTGCCAGTGAGCTCGTGTGTGCACTGGAGGATGAGGTGGCAGGAGTGGGGGTGGCCCCTCACGCACCACAGGGGATTGTTCAAAGCACACACGTCTGAATCAGCCCCCAGCGTCTCCTCCGAGTTCTCCCTGACGACCCGCCCCTGTGGAGGCCTTTGGGAGCCTCACCAGATTATCTGCAAAATGAGGAGGTCAGACCCTGCCTGCAGCACAGCCTAGAAGCTCACACACACGTATCATTGCAATTTGATGTTCATCTTTTATGTTGTTTTTATGTCTCTACAGGGGCCTCATTGCCAGTGGTTTCACGGAGACCCATTATCTGCAAGACGGTACTGATGTCTCCCTCACTCGAAATTACACGGTAATTCCTTCACTTTAGACCAGCATAACTCTGTGCTGTTGAATCTGTGCTTAAACTTTGGAGCCATTTTATTCTGAGCAGAATCACAAGGGTCCCAAGAAGAGTTTGTACATCCCTTAATGTTTAGCCATTCCTTTGTCACTCCAGAAAAATTTGGTTTTGTCCACGTACATGTCAGAACAGCTGTGGAGGCTTTATGGCAGGGCCAACCCTGGAACACCTTCGAGGCCTTGGGGTGTTCATTTGAGTGAGTCCTTTTTAGAAAACCCAGCCAAAGTCAGAGATCACCTGCAAAGCAGTCCTACCTGAGCTGAATTTTGGTGCATTAAACTTTAAAGTTCCTTAAAGAAATTTAAGAGAAAACTGACTGACTCTGCTTAACTTACTATAAATGCACCCACAATGTTGATAGGATTCTGTGTCAAGAGTTTTACTTCGATATGGCATTCATCACCGCCTGATCAGCTTTTCTGATATTTGAACTTTTACATGTAATGAAAAAATGCTCATTTTATTTGTTCCTTTAGCGTTTATTGTACATCACCTGTGTGTGCATATGGCCCCGTGTGTGAAAATGGAGACTCAGAGAGGAAAAGACAAAGTCACTGTCCTCTGAGGATAGGACATTCCCTTGCTCTAAAAGCTGTGGGGGTTTGTTTTAAAAGTATGTGGTAGAGTCAGGCTTTACGTTTGCCATGGAAGTGCTGGCAGGTCACCGTCATTGTCTCAAAGGCCTCTCTTCTCTGCATGTTGCCAACACCTTTCTTTAAGTGGGTTTGGCACCCAACACTTATGAACTGGCACTTCCCCCTCCCGGGAACACAGTGGGATACGCTGCTGCAGACCTCCCAGCCTGCATTGTTCAGCTTTCTGTTGCTGTGACAAAATCTCTGAGAAAATCATCTTAAAAAGAGGAGGATGAATTTTGGCTCCTGGTTTCAAAGGTTTCAGTCCTTGGTTCTTGGCCCTGCAGCTTTGGGCCTGTGGTGAGGTGGAAGGGTGTGGCAGGGAATGGGGGGGAAACTGGGAAGCAGAGAGATCAAAACGGGGCCTGGTACAAAATACTCCCTTCAGGGCACACCCCAGGGGCCTGTGTCCTCCTGAAGTTTCCACCTCCCAACAGCCCGTTCTGTTAGGATTCCTCCAGTTGATGAGTATATTGATGGGGACAGATCCTCACCACCCTGTCACCTCCCAAGGTCCCGTCTCTGAACATGGCTGCACCAGGGACCAAGCCTTCACTATATGAGCTTTGGGGGACCTTGCAGATCCAATCAACACAGCCCAGATGAGACCCATAGCAATCCCGCATGGAACATGAGCATATAGGAGTCGTGTCAAAGTCTGGTCAGACTTAGAAGAGAATCATGGGAGTCCTCCAGAGGGGAACCAAGAGGGGAAATGAGCTCAGAGCACTGGCGTTGAGTGGGGTCAGGGGACCCCAAAGGGCTGTTCAGGAACCAGAGGGAGAACCTGGTACGTGGGACAGGGACAAGAGAAGTGGGCCTGTGTGGCTGTGAGTCTCGAAGAATGTGGCCCCCCAGTCTGTGTTTAAAAAGAAAGGAAGAGAGGGAGAGACAGGCAGGAAGAACCCTCCAACCACAGAGGGGCACGAAAGAACTGTCTGCCAGGTATTCTGAACTGAAAAAAGATTTCCAAAAAAATAAAAGGGAAACTGAACCCCATCTAGCTTGTGTGCATGTTGGGAATGGGCTGGGCCCGGGTCCAGAATTTTAATACCATCATCAGAATGGAATTCCCAGTCAAGATCCTGACCTCAAAGCGGGTCCCAGATCAGTGAACCCCACGGCCCACGCTGAAGCCAGCCCCAAAGCGCTCCAGGGGGAGGTTTTCATGGCCCAGACGACACGAGATGCCCCGGCAAGGAGATAATAAAAAGCGCCATAAAAATAGTAAGGATCAGCCCCAAGTGCAAATCACAAACCAAACAAGGAACACAGCCCCTGTCAGCAGGCATCTGTGGAAAAAGAAACAAGAGAGTCGGTGCTTCCAGGAACACGAGATGATAGAAAAACCAGGGGAAACAGTTAAGAGGACAGAGCAGGTCTGACAGAAATGCCACCATTAAAACACGTTTTAAAAACAGGAAAGAAACAAGGTTTAGGCAGAATATCCTGAAAATGTGCCTGAACTGAAGAAAGACATGAATCTTGAAGAAAATGCACCAAATCCCAGGCAGGAACAAAGGTGAACCCCCTGTTCCAGGATGGGTCACAGAGAGACGGCGGAGCATCAGGAAGGAAGCCCTGAAACCACGTGGGACAGATATTTTCTGTTGAAGCAACCGTAGATTCCCAGCCACGGCCATGGAACTGAGCTTCAGGGAGCCAAGGACAAATTATTGTCACCCTCAATTTTATACTCAAATGAATTTACAAAAATAAGAGTGAAATAGACATTTTTATGTAAAAAGGAGATTTACTTCTCTTCTAGCCTAACAAAGAATATCTACCCAAAAAATAACTAACAAAGAATTCTTAGTAAGAAGCGGTGAGCTGGGGTAGGATGTCCAAAGCAATCATAAGCAAAATAATTGCATGTGAATAAGTCCAGACGATCCATTTAAAATAATAATTAAAACAGTAATGACTAAATTTGTTGTTCTGAAACGTGATAAAAAATAGATTCAAAAGTTTGAGAATTTCCATTGTTCTGGAGGATAATAGACATACTAATTAGATTTCAATAATTAAAGTACGTCTTTGGCAACTTTAAGCATAACCCTTTAAAGAACAGAAAGGCAGAGTATAGAATTCCAAATAATAATGAATAAAAAAAGTGCATCCATCAGTAGAGAGCAGGAAAGAAAGGAGAAGAAGAGCAGAGTGAACAAAACAAAACAACAAGATAAAAATGAGACAGCATATTCATCTCATTACTGTTCGTTAAAATGAATTATCTCCTTAGAACTTAAAATAAAATCCAGCTGCATAATTTTTACAAGACTCACACCCCACCCCAAAAACAAAATGCTTGTGACAGGAAAGGAATGGGAACAAGAAAGGACTGATGAATCTCAGCCCAGGAAAGCTGCCTTGGTCTAGGGACGTCAGATAAGCTCAATCTTGAGGCAACCATGTCACCACTAGGGACCAAGGGATCACAATGTCCTGATAACAGAAATCACTCAAAAGGGCGGACAAGACCAGGAAACTATAGGTACCAGCAGAAGAGTCTCCAAATATGTTTAAAAACAATTAATCTAGGTTAGTTAAAGGTTTTTATAAAATCTAACGACCCCATTAAAAACTAGGTGTTGTGGGCTGAATCTGATTTCCTTCTTAGTTATGTTTACTTAAAGAAAAAAGAGAAAAACTCCTATATCAATGGAACTCTTGAACTTAGCAATTTAAAGAGAAAATTCTCTAAATATACAGTTGATATAACTTATTCATAATGCAAGACACTAAAAATACCTTGACATTCTCACAACAAAACAGGAGACTTAAATATATCTCTCTCGGAAATGGAGATTTTAAAAATGAGCAGAAATTACAAGAGGAAGACAAAAGAATTATGAGAAAGCATTAGTTAAACCAAAATCTGCTCATCTGAGTATGTTAATAAAACCATTAACAAAACATTTATGAAATTAATCAAGGAAAAAATTCTCAAACAATTTTAGGGATGCTAAGAAGGATAAAGCTATTGCTAAATAGAGATCCTTACAATCGTGAGTCTTTATCAACATATTATTTTCTTAAAAATGTAAATTGTTAAAATTGATTCACAAGGAAAAAGAAAAATTTTAATCTTACTATATAAAGAAATTAAATTGAGTATTTAAAAATTCTACCCATAAAAATAATACCAGGTGAGTTTTACCAAATCTGTAAGAAATAAATAGCTCCTGAAAAAGGAAGCAAAGTTTTTAAAGTAGAAGAGGAACTAGCAAAATTAGAGAAAGAATAAATAAAAAATGAATCTTTTGAAGTATGAACATAGTTGCAAAAATTACAAGAAGTATAAACTCTCTCCAGCGTATATGTTAAAAATCCTTTAAGAAGAAAGCAAGGATCCGTAGCATTGATCTATCTTAAAATGTCATTCTGTACATTAATAGCTTCAGATGAGCGGTGTTATTATGCTTGGTGCTATTTCTTCTACTATAATATTATTAGCAATTATACTCTTTCATATATAGGTTCTAGTAGCTTGTGTGGGTGGGGATGTTTCTGGTGTCTCCTCTCTGCCCCATAGAGCCTCACAGAGCATCTTCATATAAGAGGTTTTCAAAAAATGATTCACCTGGCCATTTCAGCATCCGAGGTGATGCCATCCGGAATTCGTTCACGTACCCATTCATTCACCCAGAGCTCATGGACATGGAATAAAATGTATCCTCAGCATTAATCAAGGAAAAAATTCTACTAGAGAGGCATGGCATTTGAAAGACATAAAAACAAGTATGTTTTAATGCACCTGCTATGATAAGAAGTGTGTGCAAAGGAACAGTTTTAACTCCTGGGAGTCAGTTCACTGAGGAAGGGACATTTATCTGGCTGTATAAAAGTGGGTAAAGAAGAGTGAGGTTGGCATGAAATCCTCAATCCTGAGGAGTTTGGACTTTCTCTTACTGGAAGTCTGGGAACCAGGAAGAGGGCTCACACAGCAGAATGACGTGTTCAGTTCTGTGCTTCGGGGACTCAGAGCAGAACAACAAGATTGGGAGGAACATCACAGACAGAAGGCAGGATTTGTCAGGGGCCTGCTGTGGTCGATGAAGAGTCCGTCCATAGACGCAGCCTGGTGTAGACAGAACAGTCCAGATGCTTAGAGGAGCGTGAGAGGTCAGGCCTGGTGGTGGGCAAGGGGAATGTCAGCAGGAGGGTGCTGCCTCCACCTAAGCCGGGAGAGGGGCAACGTGGTCCTCACTAGTGCCATTGAGAAGCAGCTACTGGCTGGAAGGCAGAGAGGACATGAGCCCTGGTGTGTCTGTGTCAGAATGGCAGGGACAGTCAGGCACAGGACAATCAGGC